AAATCATGGGAATATTTGAGAACGTGGAATCTCGTCTTTCCAGGATGACAGTATAGTTAGGCAATAGTTGATAATTTTTAAATTGCTAAAAAATTACGTGTATTTTATTCTTTTGTGTGATTGGCATCCTTTGTGAAAAGAAGGATGTGCATTTTCATAAGGCAGGAAATTATCCTAACAAAGAAACCTTATTTTAAATGTATAAGCTCAGTCTTTTAGTATCGAGTTCCCTGCATTTTCTCCTATTATTCTTTTTAAGAACTATCTATTTAAAATAAAGTCTACTCAAAAGATTTAATTTGTCTTGGTGTCAGATATAGATCAATTTTTATAAGAAAGTTACAATATAAGAAAGTTACAATGTCTTTACAAAGACTTTACCTTTTTAAAGTGGCCACAGTTTGACCAAGAACTTTTATTTTTTTCACTTTTCTGGGAATTCTGATGGGTGGGAGATAAAACTAGATGCCAAGGAGAAGAGGAAGTGATTAGGCACAACAAGGGTTTCACGCAGTCAACATGGGATTTCTTGTCAAATAATATTTCATTTTTAAAACCTTCTCTCTTTGGTTATATATCTAATTTCTCTGGTAATGTGAGATGAAGTAAAGTTTACGTATGACATTACTATCATTATGTATAAAATATTTATGTTGCATGAAATAGTACAGCATCCATTATAACACTTGTTGAAAAGCAGAGAATTATAAAACAGATTTACATTTCCATTAAAAGTTTGCTTATTGTGCTTTTCAGGAAAAAGGAAATGAAGGAGTAAGTTTGGGAAAGAAATCCTTTGTGCTTTTTTTTTTCATTTTAAGGTTATTTCTCTACCTTAAAATTTCAATTTAGAAAACAGAAGACTTAAATCTTATTGGATAAAGTTTTCCTAACGTTTAAAATATCAACTGGCTACAAGGATGCACTTTCAAAAAAAATGCTTAGCATCCTCCCCCCACTCCATTTGCAATATCCATTATTTAGTTGAGAGAGGTTGTTCACTGGAGCATAGATTCACAGAATGCTCTTTTTGTGCAGAGCATGATATTGGATCTTAGGTGTCTATATGTTTGCCTGTAGATGGGGTGAAATGATGCTAGAGAGATAGCAGAAGATTGGCTACATAGTCACACCAAAATAAAATGCACAAATGAATGTTGAATGAATGAATGTTAGAACAGAGAAAAAATGTGAAAAAAATGATAATTTATCAGTCTATCAATAGGTACAAATAAGTATCAGTTATATTCAGCGACAGTGCGGGTGTCCATGCTGTGATGAAAAGAGTGCATCACTGCCAGTCAGGAGAATGCCATTCATTCATTCATTCATCATCCATTTAGGGCCTTTTATATCTCAGGTACTTGCAGTCTACAATTACTCACTGTGTCATCTTGAATTAATCCCTCGTAGAATATTCCGCATGTAGTACCTTTTATTGGTTATCTTTGTGCCACCAGAGCCTAGCTGAGCACCTAACATATTAGATTTTCAATAAATACTATTTGAATGAATAAAGGAAGGAACAATTAATCTTTCTTAGCTATTCATTAATAAGAGGAGCCTCCTCTTTAAAACTATATATAAATTAGTGTTTTTTAGGGAGGGAAAGAAATGTTGCTCTCACTTTGTCCTGTGTCCAATGAATACTCAAGATGGCATTTCCTTCATCTGCTTACTAACAACACAGTGGATTTTGTAATTTAATGACTTCAATATTTTATGTGTATATATTATAATAGAAAAGTTTTAGTGACAAACTGTGAAATCTGATATACTTTTTCATTTAAATAAAAACACGTTGTAAATATTTTTTATTTTAGTTTTATGTTGCTTATGTAATAGGCTTTATCAATGAAAATCTCTAATTTAAAATTTTAAAGTGCTGAACTATCACAATTGTCTTGTCACCTTAAAAGCAAATTTGCCTGTTTTATCTCCAAATGAGTTTATTCGGGAATAGCCAAAAGAATTGCAATTCAGGATGTTCATGCTATAGCCAATCATAGGCAAATCCAGAAAAAAAAGGAGGGGAGTTGCTTTTATAGAGAAAAAAGGAGTAGAGAGAGGCTGTTCTAAACCAAAGTCCTTTGGGGAAAAGTAACAGTTCAGGACAGCAAAGGCTTCTCATTGGCTGAGCTGCAGCATTTCTCATTGGCTGGGCTGTTGCTGGATAGAGAGAGAAATCTTCCTTCAGTAGTAAAGTAGTTTTACTTCCTTTCCAAGAAGGAAGCTTCTCTCTCTTCCAGTTTGGTGTAATTGACATGTGTGATAGGGCATGAGAGCGCTCCCTATAGGCCTTCTGGACTCCAATTTAGTTAAGGTTTCTTTTATTAATTTCCACAGTTTATGTAGCTATCTCCTCATGTCATTTTGGGTCCATTTGAAAACTTGTCTAATTTCAGTGTTTCCAATATGTATGTATATGTAAACAGACATACACAAGTATTCCAATATACATGTATTTGTATATATCTGTATATGTCTGTTTATTCAGACATATACAGATATATACATACATATACATGTGGTCATACTCTATCTTGAATTTGCCCATAGTCCCAGGATGATTAATTTCTATTGTTTTAAAGCTGGGAAAATTAAACTACTTTTCTAAAATGATTAGTAACAAATATTTATTTAGCATCTATTCTGTACAACATACTCTGTTAAGCACCACACTATCGTGAAAAGAACTAAGACATTTTCGCTTATCTCTATTAGAGTCTACGAGAGAGGACTGACCACATACATTGGAGGCAATCTGAGATTTAGACTCAAAACCGCATTGTTTCTATTACCACAAGTTGTGCTGCATTTCCTCTTCAAAAAGTTTTGCACAGTAATATTTTACTCTAAATGAGTGTCATCCTACAGTTACATGTCCCAAGAAAGCACAAAGCCTTTGTAGAATCGACTATCAGTGTCTCTCTTGTCCTTGCATTGGTAGTAGAAAGGGCAATCAGTAATTACTGATCTACAGAGGAAAAGGCTTGTTTCAAGAAAGTGAGACAAAAGAGGAATAGCTAAGCAGGATCCCAGTAACAAACACAGTAACAAACAAATAGCCTGGACACATTATAAGTATAAATAGGATCATAAACAAGCTAGATGGAGCCAGGTGGTCATCAGAACTCAGGAAATTAGGCAGAAAGGCCAGTCAAGGCTGCTTTGATTAAAAGCTCACTGACCTATCCAGGGAAGTTGCAGGGAAGCCAATGGCTAGAAATATGATGAATAAGATGATTCAGTAGGCCACATGAGTCACTCGTACAAGTTATCCTTTCTACTTTGAGGCAATATCAATATAAATTGTTGATTAGAATCTCAGAATGAATGAATAAGATCCTGAGCTTTTGAGTTAATTTGTCTTTAAGGGGATGCAATTAGCATCCAGAAAGTAATTCCATTAACAAAGAATCAGTTGTAGAAGTGTGAAAAACTTAAAACTTTCAAATTTTCTTGTAGCACAACTTGAAAACTTGCTGTATATAAAACTGAAGTTAAAGTTATTTATAATGAATGTATGTACACAATAGGATTTCCTATTTGAAAATTTATTGGACCAGGACCAATAAGACCCTTTGAAATTGAAGATAATATTATTTACTATAAATTTAAATATATATGTATTTTTATACTTTTAAGTATAATTATCCAAGTATAGATCTAGAAATAGGTAGATAAGTACATATTGCTATTGGTGAAAATGCTTTCTTATGCTACCTAGATATCAAGATCTCTATAACAATGTATATTCATAAGAATTAACTATTGCTGTCCTGAGTATTCTGTAGGAAATTCGTGTTAAAAAGATGAGAGCGCTTACTTTTTTAAAGAGGAGGAGAATTCTTTTTGCCTCTTATTGATATATTATAGGCAGTTTTGTGCTTCATCAGACAGTACTGTCAAATCTCTAATATGCAGCAGTAAATAAGTAATACCATTGTGATATTAATAATATTGTTATTAATTTCCTTTGAAATGAGAGAACTTATTATGGGATATTATATTAGTATCACTTCTACATTTAACTTTATGATAGAGTATTTTCCTTAAACAATATGAATACACTTAATCTTTTTAAGCTGAAATCTATTTTCAGTTTTTAAATTAAAAAGTAAACAGGTAAATTTTGTTTTTAAAAACACCAGCAGCACTGCTGCTCAGTGGTTGTCCTAGTTCATGATAATCTGGCACTTCTCAAAGGACTGAGAATTGATCATGGTATAATTTTGCCATCCAGCATTGTAGTCACACAGTCGACAGTCCAGCTTGAAAAACATTTATTGAATGCCTACTATATACATCTAGGTCCTGGGATAGTGTTTCTACACTTGAGAAGCTTAGATTTGAACACTGCATGAACTAGACAATATTTAGGACACTAGATTTTTGTTTGAATTTTTCATTTTCCTATAAATATGTTTTTAACACCTGCAATGGTGAAGTTACGGTGCCCTGTATTGTGATGTATACCATGGTGAGTAGGGGACAGTTTCTGCTTTGTCCATTGCTTTTAAATTAATAAGGCAGACGGGTACACATTATAACTGCAGTGCAAAGCAGATTGTGACAGGTAGCATCAGATGACTATAAACAGAAGAGTATGGGGTTCCTAAGAGGAGATCACATCCCAGCTGAGTAGACCAAGGAATACTTTAAGACAGGTGACTTTTTAAGTTTGGCCTTGATTCAAGTAGGAAAGGAAAAAATGTTTAAGGTAAGATTCTGTGACTACACCGTATATCAGGTACCTTGACTGGAGAATAACATTAATGAACTATTGTAAATTAGGTATCTTGAAGTTCTTATCTAAATTTAGCTTTTCCTTCCCTTACATTATTTCCTACATAAATTTAAAAAACAAAATCTGCTATTTTAACACAAGTTAACACGCCATAGAAATGATAGACTTAAACTACTGTAATGGTTATTGCCTGATACTTGTACTGCACTTGGAACCAAGTAAAGACCTCACTAAATTTTCTTTGGAGATTACTAAAGTAATGGGAGCAAATTGTAAAATTTAGTTTCCCTCTCTATGGATTAATTTATAGTAGTCACATAAGTTTTTTCGAGTTGCTAACTAATGTCTTTTTATTCCAAGCAGGACTATAATATGGATTTAGAGCTCAAGGATTATTATAACAAGACACTTGCCACAGAGAACAATACTGCTGCCACTCGCAATGCTGATTTCCCAGTCTGGGATGACTATAAAAGCAGTGTAGATGACTTGCAGTATTTTCTGATTGGACTCTATACATTTGTAAGTCTTCTTGGTTTTATGGGAAATCTACTCATTTTAATGGCTGTGATGAGAAAACGTAATCAGAAGACTACGGTAAACTTCCTCATAGGAAATCTGGCCTTCTCTGATATCTTGGTTGTGCTGTTTTGCTCACCTTTCACGCTGACCTCTGTCTTGCTGGATCAGTGGATGTTTGGCAAAGTCATGTGTCATATTATGCCTTTCCTTCAATGTGTGTCAGTTCTCGTTTCAACTTTAATTTTAATATCAATTGCCATTGTCAGGTATCATATGATAAAACATCCTATATCTAACAATTTAACAGCAAACCATGGCTACTTCCTGATAGCTACCGTCTGGACACTGGGTTTTGCAATTTGCTCTCCCCTTCCAGTGTTTCACAGTCTTGTGGAACTTCAGGAAACATTTGGCTCAACGTTGCTGAGCAGCAGGTATTTGTGTGTTGAGTCGTGGCCATCTGATTCATACAGAATTGCCTTTACTATCTCTTTATTGCTAGTTCAGTATATTCTGCCTTTAGTTTGTCTAACTGTAAGTCATACCAGTGTCTGCAGGAGTATAAGCTGTGGATTGTCCAAGAAAGAAAACAAACTGGAAGAAAATGAGATGATCAACTTAACTCTTCATCCATCCAAAAAGAGGGGGCCTCGGGAGAAACTCTCTAACAGCAAGAAATGGAGTTATTCATTCATCAGAAAACACAGAAGAAGATACAGCAAGAAGACAGCATGCGTGTTACCTGCTCCAGCAAGACCTCTTCAAGAGAATCCTTCAAGAACGCTTCCAGAAAACTTTGGCTCTGTGAAAAGTCAGCTCTCTTCATCCAGTAAGTTCATACCAGGGGTCCCCACCTGCTTTGAAATGAAACCTGAAGAAAATTCAGATGTTCATGAAGTGAGAATAAACCGTTCTATCATGAGAATAAAAAAGAGATCTCGAAGTGTTTTCTACAGACTGACTATATTGATACTAGTGTTTGCTGTTAGCTGGATGCCATTACACCTTTTCCATGTGGTAACTGATTTTAATGATAACCTTATTTCAAATAGGCATTTCAAGTTGGTGTATTGCATTTGTCATTTGTTAGGCATGATGTCCTGTTGTCTTAATCCAATTCTATATGGATTTCTTAATAATGGGATCAAAGCTGATTTAATGTCCCTTATACACTGTCTTCATATGTCATAATTCTCACTGTTTACCAAGGAAAGAACAAATGGAATCATTTAAAATACATTCACAATAACTATGTATGTATAATAAACAAATTTTGTTAACATATGGAATTTAATTTATATAAGAGTTCTGGATTTGAATGTCAGTTCATAATATATGGAAGATAATTTTAATGTGTTATAAAGAATTCATTTGGTTGTATTAAGTCAATGTCAATCCAATCTGTAATGTTAATTTTAAAAGTAGTTATATTACCTTTCACCTTGTCTTATAAACAAATGAATTGTATTTTTTTGGTCTAAAATAAAAACTATATCTAACCAACAAAGTATTTTTTGTTCAAAACTATAATAAGCAAAAATATTTTTCCTGGGGAACATTTAATTTCAAATGTGAGGAATATCTATCTTCCTTTCTACAGGCTTCTTAATGTTCATAGGCTTCTTACTGTTTAGTTTGTGAAAATACAGAAAATGTTTAATATGCCCACAAAAATCATAACTAACTGACATATGTATGCTCAAGTCATGATCATAACTGTAAACATTGGGTATAGTTTTAGAACTCCTACAGGAAAATGCTTATCTCCTATTATTGATAATTGATCAAATTGTCAATTTATCTCCACTATCCTAGTAATATACAATTAATTTACCAAATAAAAATAGATATTAAATCTTTTCTAGGCCCATACCACAACATTAATACTATCAAAGATTGTTTTCATATACATCCTTTGTATTCTAAAATGTGAAGTATAAATGGTATCTGTGTTTCCAAGGATTAAATAATTTTAAAGAATACTTAAAGTGTCCACAGGGGGAAAAAAGGTTAATTTTTTGGGCCAAGATATAGAATAGTTAATATGATTTAAGCTATTTCAGTACTAAGATCTCATATGTTATCTTAGTAAATTGAGGTCAGTCTTTTCAACTGGAAATTTTTGTTTGTTTTAGCCAGTTTTTTAAAGAACCAAGTCCCTGAAAATAATTGAATATTTTCACACAATGCTGCAATGTGTAATACAACATTGCTGACTTCAGTTCCTGTAACTGATTTAACCATCCCCTGTATTGATTCCTGTTCGTAAGGGAAAACAAGAAAACAAAACAAGAAAGTTTTTAAATTTGCAAGTGATAGGTAATTCTGGTAGTTATTAAATCAATTTGAAAGTCCAAAGTCTGTGTGGGGACTTTCTTCCCCTTCCCTAGCTGATGTCCACCCGTAGAGGAAGCTGCAAATGGTGCTGGTCCACATGGTGCCCTCTGCTGGCTCCTACTGAACCCCAATTGAGCAGTAATCATCTTGTTTGGCCTCTATGTTACAGCAGCCTCTGCCTGTGCTGTAGAATATATGGTCTGTTCTCAGCAAGGTCAAGGCCTGAGAGTCCAGCCCCGGCAGCCCCACCCCTGCTGACGAACTCATTGACTAGTTACTCTGAGTCTCAGCCACGTCATCCGTTCTGTTCTGAGCATAGCCTGTCTGCTTTGTGGGGTCTTGCCTCTGCCAAGTCTGTGGACTATTCCAGAACTCTAAATTCATCACCGAGAACTCTGCAGGAACTAATGAAATTCTACCCCTCACCTAAGTCATGGAGAACTGAGACAGGCAGCATGGCCTTCCTCAGGCCTTCTCTGCTCAAACACTACGTTGCCATATCTATGCTGTTGTGTTCACCTCATGGTGCTACAACAACACTCTGCTTTTGGGTCTCTTTCTAGATTTCCAAATATTAAACTGGCAACAAGCCCCCTCAGCTTTGAGCTTCCCTCTCATCTCTCTGGTGCTATATGAGTGTCCTCCCCCAGTTTTTATATGATAGCAGATAGAAAAAGTAAAGAAACTCCAGTTCACTTTTGCTTTTCTCTTTCTTTCCCCCTCCTTTTTACTGTAAGGGCTTCTATTTCTTTCTGCCTACTTAGAATGTCCCCAACTAATAATATCTTCCTTTTTCTCTGCACAGTGGCTTACAGTTGATAAATAAATGACAAGCAATAGGACATCTTGGAGTATATGAGGAAACCATTTGGTGTAAAACTAATTTGGCCTGACCTTGTTTTTACAAAAGGGCCTGACATGGCTGTTCAGCATGCATCATATATCTGCTTTTAAGTATTTACTATGTCCCCAAAACAGGAGCAATGCCCTTTAAGATAAAGAAAGATGTAACTTTCCCCACATCGGCATATCCTTAAGGGTAAGCATCTTTCCCTAGGCTCGAGATTGATTGCTGACCTGCTGTGACCACTGAGCTTGAGACCACAGACCTGCTACCTGCTGTGTTCATCAATTGCTATGTGAATCACTGTGCGAGCTAGCCAATCTTGTGACTGTTGTAAAAGGGACATTCCAATCATATGTGATACATGCTCTTTGATTGTATATAACCACTTTGTACACCCCACTTCTCTGGTGTCCTTCCTTCCTTGGGGAAGGAAGGCCCTGAGCTAGTACTCAGATCTGGCTCATAATAAACTCACCCCAATTTTGAATTATAAATTGGTTGTGGATTATTTCCATTGACACAGTTAAAACTGTTCAGAATGTTACCACATAAAAGGGCACAATCTGCTCACTGCAAGACAAAAGCCAATTATCAAGAGGAAAATGGTGGAAAAGAAAGGCCAGTTTATTACAGCTTGCTAGCAAGTGGGAAGATGGCTGACAAATGTCTCAAAGAACCATCTTAAGGGGACACAAAATCTTACAGCAGTTATATAGGCCAGTGGGTTATAGGGGAGGGGGTTGGGAATGTTGACCTTTCCTTAGGTATTACAGACTGGGAGTTGCCACACCAGGTCTTTCAGTTTTCATTGATGATGGCTATCAGCATAGACTCTGGGGGTCATCACATTCCTAAGGAACTCAAAAGAACAAACTTATCATCTTATCGCAGCTGGGAGGTACATGCACAAGCAGAGATTGTAAAATCTACAGAGCAGTTAGATCTCTTGGAGAGTGCATATCCAGCTGGCTTAGTAAGTCAGAGGTCATTCGAAGTTACAATAGGGCTTCTTTTCTACAATATGGCTTCCCTCATGTCAACCTTGTCTTGAGTTGGTATCAAGAACATCAAGGTTTGCTTTTGGAAAAGGAAGCTTGTGTGCTTTAAAACCTTTTTCCCTTTTCAGTGCTTGGATTCAAGACTATTATTTTACCGTGGACCAAAAACAAAAAAGTCTAAGCTGAACAACAACCTCTTATTTAAAAGCAATAGGTATTTTGATTTTCACTAGGGCAATCAATTTGAAGGTTAAACTTTAGTGGCTAAAGGAGAAAAAACTCACTGATGAGGGCAAATGTAACCACATAAGGAAGCATTTTGTCTTGTCAGAGTAACTTACATTAGCAAATGCACAATAACTGTCAAACTCCACCATTTTATGGTCGCTGATAGATGAGTTTAGTTACACTGGATAAACTAATTTGGGGCTCTTAAACTATTGAACTCAAAGGAAGCAATTTATCTTCCCTAACCAGAAATGACTGAATGTTCTAATTGAAAGTTGAGAAGTTTGAATGGATTGGTAGATAGAAGTCATTAACATGGAGATTAATGGTTTTAGAAGATTATTATGAAGAATAATTTCTTCCATGGAGACTTGCTTAGTGAGTTAAACAATTTATGTTCGATCAACTCTCCATTGCTCAAGAGTTGATTATCTAACTTTTTTTCTATTCTCGCCTGTTGTCTGATTTGACGACTTGTTCCATAGAGTCTTCGCAAAGCACGGCAGGGGAAATAAATGGAGATGAAATTATAAACAGTCAACCTCATTACTTTTTAACAATTATTTTAAAATATTTTATTCAGGAAGAGATGTTAAATTGAGTTTTAGTGGTTATTGAAATTATTCCTGTCAGCCATGTGGCCCATTACTGTGAATAATAAATACTGTAAATAATAAAACACTAAATGGAAAAAAAAAAAAAAGCTGGGAAATGTGGAAAGAGCAACTAACATGATTAAATGATGAAGAAATGTATATGAGGATTATTTTATTCAGATATCTATTGAATACTTGCTGTGTACCAGGAACTCCTCTGGGTGCTTGGGATAGAGCAACGGAAAAGATCCCTGCTCATTTGATGTTCTGGGAATGGGGTGAAGGGGGTGTCAGTGGCAGGAGGTGGACAAACAGTAAGCAGTAAGAACAATAAAAAGTCAATTACAGGGCTGGCCCAGTGGCATAGTGGTTAAGTTTGCGCACTCTGCTTCCACAGCCTGGGATTCATCGGTTGGGATCCCGAGTGTGGACCTACACACTGCTCCTTAAGTCATGCTGTGGGGGCGTCCCATGTACAAAATAGAAGAAGATTGGCACAGACGTTAGCTCAAGGACAATCTTCCTCGCCAAAAAAAAAAAAAAAGTGAATTACATAGTAATCATTTGGCGGTCCTCGCAGGTGCATAACTCTAATCTCTGCCTTTGTCATCACGTGACTTTGTCTCTGTGTCCAAACTTCCCTCTGCTTATAGGGACACCTGCCATATTGGAGTACGTCCCTCATTCCAGTAGAATCTTAATTTAACTAATTATATCTGCAACTAATCTATTTCCAAATAAGGTCACATTCTGAGGTACTAGGGATTAGGATTTTAACATATCTTTTGTGGAGGATGGTGGGGGACACAAATTCAACCCCTAACAATACGGTAGTGATTATTAGTAATGATAAGAGCCTTAGAACAATACAGAGCAGAATCAGGGTGTATGTGTACATGTGGCAGGAGAGAGAAGAGAGTTGAATGCAGTTTCTAACGGGATGGATCCATAATCCTCATTGAGAAGATAACTTTTGTGCAAACATTTGAAAGAGGTGGGGGGAGTTAGCTGTGTGACAATCAGGGAAAAGAGCACTCCAGGGAGAAGACACAGCCAATGCAAAGGCCTTGAAGCTGGAGCACACTTTGAGTGTCAGAGAACAGGGAGGAAATCACTATAGCAGGAGTGCAGTCAAGAGAGAGAAATTAGGTAAGGAGCCAACTCAAGGACAGTTCTCACATGTCCTCATAGGCATTTGTAAGGACGTTGGCTTTCACTCTTAGGAAAATGGAGAGCTATGGTGGATTTTGACCAGAAATGTGATATAATCTGATGTATACTTTATTTATTTATTTATTTATTTATTTATTTGTTTGTTTGTTTGTTTGTTTATTGTGAGGAAGATTAGCCCTGTGCTAACATCTGCCAATCTTCCTCTTTTTTTGCTGAGGAACACTGGCCCTGGGCTAACATCCGTGCCCATCTTCTTCCATTTTATATGGGATGCCGCCACAGCATGGCTTGCCAAGGGGTGGGTCCGTGCGCACCCGGGAT